TTTTTTTTTTTTTTTGCTTCATTTGAACTATGTGGTTTTAGGACTTTGTTATGCAGGTTTCATTTCATGTGATGTTTTCTTTTGCATCATGGACTTCTTTTGCATCAATGTGGTTCTCTTTTGCATCAATGTGGTTGCATCATGAATTTCATGTAATGTTGTTGCTGGAATTTTATTATCTATGCTTGGATTTTGGTACTTTGTTAAGATCTTTACAAAATGGACTGAAATCTCCAATTTCGTGTCAATTTCGGTTTACCAGATTCATATCGTGTCTCGGGTTTGCGGGTCAATTCGTGTCGCGTGTCACTTTCGGTTCGTGTCGTGTCGACCCGCAACCTGACCGTGTCGTGTTCGTGTCACGGTTCTCAATTATTTTCGTGTCACAGGTCGTGTCCGGGTCACGTGAAAAAAAAAATTGACACGGCACAAACACGACACGAACACGACACGCGACACGAATTGACACCCCTACTTTTGATATTCCTAAAATTCCCATATTTAGTTAAATTTCTGGACATTTAAATATCAACTTATTAAGTGGTATTTAAATTACCATTGAGAGAAAATCTTTCTTGGGAACCTAAAAATTATAGTTTTTATACAAAATATAATACTTATATATATATATCTGTTAATTATATGTTTTGAGACCGGTAGCCGAAAAATCAAAACGCCGGCGTTTAGAGAGGCTGACACATTTGGACGAGAGTGCCACGTGGTGTCCTTACAGTTTGCATGACTATTGGAGCGTTCTGCATGTCATTTTACCACCTTTCTCCTAGTTGTGCGCCACTTGTCCTCGGTTTCTCAGAAGAATCAGAACTTTCTCCCATTAAATAAACTCGGGCACTTCACCGAAACCAACAGTTGAAATATTACACTCCGTATTTAGTATTTACTTACCTCCAGGGAATATTATTACACAACAAAATCCTAAGAGGGCCGCATGCACATTTTATTTTATTTTTGTTTTATATTTAATAAATATAACTAATTAAAGCATACCTATAGTCCAGTAACATGCGGAATTGTCCTTTTCTTTTTTACGGCACATAATGGCCAATTTTTCGATCCATTGATTATACTATATCGAAATATACATTAGAAATATATGACTACAATAAATTTAGTTATCTCATATTGGTATTACGCATTTCAATATCATTATTCTATAACATTAATATCGTGTTACAGCCATTACTTCTATATCTCAATGGGGAAGACGATTTTACAGATGACAAGTCCTATTATGGTGCTTTGTAAAATAAAAATAAAATAATTAATATTAGAACTAGAAAAAAGAGGGAAAGATTTTGTATTTACCTGGAGGACTAGCTAGGTAGTGAAACGCCAATGGCCAAGTGCAATTACTATATACACGTGACCTGATATGGCGGACCATTTTTCTTCCCCAACTAGCAGTAGCCACTCACTATTAAATACTACAATCTAAATTCAAGCAAAAAAAAAAAAAAAAAAAAAAAAAAAAATGTATGTTTCACTGAAAAAAATGTGCACAATATGTTTCCCCACATTTAAAGCTCCTCCAAAAAGATCGATAATGCTTTCTATGTAGTTGCTCCTCCTTTTTTTGTTTTGTTTTCTTGCTCTACCTTTTGGATAATTGGATAAGACCATACGTTAAAACTATACGGAAGATCGATAATGCTTTCTATGTAGTTGCTCCTCCTTTTTTTTTTTTTTTTGTTTTCTTGCTCTACCATTTGGATAAGACCATACGTTAAAACTATACGGGGAAAAATCACGTGAATGGTCATGTCAGGTTTTAAGGAAATCCTACAGAATTTTTAGGAAAACAGGAGCAACTCTATCTTTACTGTTGGGACAATTGACATTGATCATAATCTTATTAGGGAGAAAGAGGGAAATAGGCCAAAATTTAGGATAAATTAAAATTAATAGGTTAATAGTTTACCTAAGTTAATAAATAGGTTAAATTACTGTTTTTATCCATAACTTGTCTGGTTATGAACCATAACTTGATAACTTATTGTCCATAATTCACGATTTTTGTTCATAACTTGTCTGGCTATGAATCATAACTTGACAAATTTATCCATAACTTATCTGGTTATGAACCATAACTCGACAAGTTATGGCCTATTAATTTCTGTAACTAAAAATTAGCCTATATACTTTCTTAAGCTTTTCATATTAATATATTTTCTACTATTTCTGATCTTATTATTTAAATCCAAAAGAGCTAATAAAATTGTGTAAAAATACACTTCAATAAAAATTCTCCCGGTATCTCACCGTGAATAATTGCCCTTTTGATTTAGGCGCTCTTATAGAGCCTTGAGTATAGTTCAGCCATAGAATCTCTCTAATCCTTATGTGTATATATATATATATATTTTTTTTTTTAAGGGAACTCTAATCTTTATACTTGGGTGCAAAATGTATATCTCTTTTTATTATGTATATTGCAAGAAAGCACACCCGATTTGGAATTAAATTTCTAAAAGTTTGAAATTTTAAATAAAAGAGGTAAATAATGTCGCAAAGCCATTAAAATAGAACAAATATCTTTCCTTTTTTTTTTTTTTTTTTTTTTGAAAAAGATGAAATAGAAGAAGTTGTTCTTCTACTGAACTATTTTAAGTGCTTTTCATTAAAAATTTAGAACTCAACACGAAACCCCCTATCTACTGAACTATTTTCAGAGTATGCTTAATACAACTAGACCACCAGTCTATCATGCGGGTTGCTTTTTTCTTTTAAAAATAAAAAGAAGTAATTACGTGTTGGAAAACCCCAGGACGCATGGGTTGGTGCGCGACTTAATTAAATTAACTTGAGTTTTTGTTGAATTAATCCAAATTGGCAAATCCTGTTTTATCGGATAAGCATGAATCAAAAAAGAAGAAGAAGAAGAAGAAGAATTTGATCCAATTTCGTCACTCGCGCGTGCGCGTGAGAAAAAGGTCATAGATACAGACACAAGTAAGAGAGAGCCTTTTAAAAACCGTTGGCTAATGGGTCTTGTAGTGCGCCCACAGTCCCGTACCAAATCCGGAAACCGGTCACTGGTTTTCGATCTGGCTGTTTTCGCCAAACTAGTGTACGACCTCCCGAAAACCAGGAGCTCTTTTTTTTTTTTTTTTTTCGCTAATCAACCAGGAGCTCTTATTACCTTTTTCTTTTCTTTTTTCTTTTTTGTTTTTTCCGAATACTCTTTAAATAAAATAATTTTACTATTTTTTCTTTACAAACCGCCAGCTCCAGATGGGACCCACGTCCACGATATGTGGCGATTCGACCGCACTCTGACACCTCCCCGTGGCTGCCACGCGCCGCTCTCTTGCCACCTCAAATTTTGTATCCTTTTGCATGGCCTTCCTCCACCATCACACCCAGCTGTCGCCGGACCCCACCGAGATCAACTTGCACTCTAAATTTCCACTTTTGCCCTTCCATTCTCATCCCAATCTCACACCCAATGCAGTGATTCCCGAATGCGAACAAGGTTAAATTGCGAACCAGAAAAAATAAGACAAGGCTGGTATTCATATACGTTTTTCTCAAAATGGGCATTGTGGGCTTTTTGGATTTACACCCCAAATACGACGTACGTCGTACGATACGACCCAATGGGGATAAGTAGCGACTTCCGAGCAATTGGGGAGTCCACCGCACACGCTGAGAAGGCGAGTGTCCCAAACAGCGTACGACCTCTAATTCTTTTTAAATAAATATAATATTATATGAGAAAATAGAAAAAGTCGGAGGTTCAAAACTTCAAAAGTGGTACCTTGCTCTTCTATGTTCTAACCTCCTTGAATGTGGAAACCGGTCTTTTAGAGAGAGAAGACAAAATTAATAAAATAAAATAACTTAGAAAAAAAAAAAAAAACAGCAGCGTCCCCAGAGTTAGCTTAATAAAATCCCAGCGGCTCTTCCCTCTAAGTGTGTATATATATATATATATATATATGTAAATCTTTTTTCCCAGCACTCATTCACTTTATAATTTACCTTCAATCTTTATACAATCTTTATTTCCTCTCCCACCACCAAGAAGAAAAACCTTTCTACAATCAATCTGTTTTTCTGTTAATTTTCTTGTTCTCAGAGAAAGAGAGAAAAATGCGGATGAGTTGTAATGGATGCCGAATACTACGCAAGGGCTGCAGCGAAAACTGCAGCATTCGGCCATGCCTTCAGTGGATCAAGAGCCCCGAGTCTCAAGCCAACGCAACTGTCTTCCTCGCCAAGTTTTACGGCCGCGCCGGACTGATGAACCTCATTAACGCCGGTCCTGAACACCTTCGTCCTGGTTAGTGTTTGACTTCTTTGAAAATTGTTTTTTTTTCTGGTTTTGCATGCATTCCCGAGAAACAAACAGGGGCTAAGATTTTTTATTTGTTTTTGTTGCAGCGATTTTTCGGTCGCTTCTGTACGAGGCGTGTGGTCGGATTGTTAATCCGATTTATGGATCAGTCGGACTGCTGTGGTCAGGGAGCTGGCATCTCTGCCAAGCCGCTGTGGAAGCCGTTCTCAAAGGCGCGCCGATCACGCCGATCGCGTCGGAAGCCGCCGCGAGCACCCATGGCCCGCCTCTCAAGGCGTACGACATCCGCCACGTGTCCAAAGATGAGAACTCCGCGGCCTCCAATGACCCGCAGAAGGTCAAGACCCGGTGCCGGTTCAAGCGAACAGGTACCACCGTCGTCAAGCCCAAGGCAAGGAAGGCCGGCTGCGGCTCCACCGGGCAAGACACGGCCAGCCCGAAGTGGGCGGGGTACTGCGCTGACGTGGCGGAGTTGAACAGGTCAACGAGCCACGAGTCGTCGGTGAGCCACCAGTCGGAGGCGGTCAACGTTGTCGACGGCGAGAGCAAGGAGACCGAGAGCATGATATCCGTCGAGACGGCGGAGCCGGCGGCGGCGTCTCTCTTGTTCCGAGCCGAGCCGGAGACGGTGACCACGCAGGTTGAGGAGTCGATTCGGGAGAATGAGATGGCTCTGGAGCTGACGCTCGGCTTGGAGCCGACGGCGCATGCACGCCACGTAGTTCCGATGAAGAAGAGGAGGATCGAGGCCTCCGGGTGCGGCAGTGGACGCGACGGCGCGTGTAAGGTGGAGCTAGGGTTGGAATATTCAGCTTGAGTGGAGCCCAAGAAAAAGGACAAAAAGAAAAAATAGAAAAAAAAGTTACAATTTTGACGGCTCTGATCAGCTTTCTCCTATTTAGAAGAGATCATGATCCTTCTTTTTCTTTTTTTTTTTTTTAGCTTTTTTTATTGTACTGTGGCTTTTTTTAACCCTTTGTCGAGAAGTGAGCTGTACAAATTTGGTTGGAATTTTGCATATAAAGGAGTGGTACATTAACAGAGGGACACATAAATCTTTTGCTGAATCTTTGTGGCTTAAGAGCTTGATACATATGGCCAAAATGTGAAATAGAAAAAAAAGTAAGGCGTTGTTTTTTCAGTTTTAAATTTTTAGAGTAAAAAATTTAAAAATATCACATTTAATTCTGTTTATTACAATAAAAATTTTTTAAAAAATATCACATCTCATTTTAAATTAAAAACTCGATTTCACAAAATGAACGAGTCATTTTAAATTAAAAACTCGACTTTGCGAAATGAACGAGTCTTAATTAAAAACTCGACTTCGTGAAATGAACGAGTCCTAATTAGTACAAATAGTCCTAAACTCACCTACTAAATTTGATTCTTGTTTTTTTAATTTTGATAAAATACTCCTCAAACTCTCTTCAGTATGAAATTTTAGTCCTTTACGGACAGCCGTCAAATTCCTGACTATTAATCACATGCCACCCTCACGTGAGACTCTATTAACTGAAAAGACTGAAATGCCCTAATTACTAAATGGGGTGTTAAAAAGTCTAGTTTGGAGAGCTTCTCATCCCCCACCGTAGTAGCCTTCAATCCGCCGGAAGAAAATAAAAAAATGGAAGTCTCCGATGTTGGCTGAGGAAGCATGTTGAGGTTGGCTAAAGGAAGCATTGTCAGGTCACACAGTACACTCCGGCATCGCAAATCTCATCCTAGCGTCGTCTGGGAAGATCTAATGTCGGAGGAGATGGCACAGTGCTCTCCATGGAAGATACGAAGCCGAAGATCTCGCTAGTCTGTAGATGTCCTCTACCTCACTTGGGAAGATCGAGGAAGAACTGAACGGTGATGGGGACTGCTCACGGTGGGAACTGGGAAGCTCGTGCCAGCAGATCCGTCGCTGCAAGCCAGATTCGTCTCCGAGCACTCGTCACCGCTCGTCCGCTCCTCAGCGCGAGCCCCCTCTCGTCTCGCCCAACTCTGTCGTGAAAACCCAGCTCTCCATTGCCAAGCACCATCAAAAGTCTTGAGGTGGTTTTTGAGTTTTGGTTCTGGTGTTAAAAATTGGTGGGTTGATTTGTTTATCCGCAATCTGCATAAATGTTTGCATATTCAACACAACACGTTTTTTTTTTTTTTAAATGTTTGGGCTTTCTTTGATCTTTGGCTTGTGTTTGGTGATCAATACATGTTCAGGTATAAAGTTTCTTTCTAAATTTTACTGGTGCACGATAATGACTTTGAGGCTTTTGGCCATGGATATGAAAGTGAAATGCCATTTGGGTTGAGCTCTGTGCTTCTTCGAAGCGTTCCCATTCTTTGCAGAATTTTTTAACATTGTTTACCTTTAACTTTAATTTTCACCATTAATGTTATTGTTATTTGATCAAAATACCCTCTTATATTGGATCACATGCATTACACGTGATACATCCTGTCATCCTGTTAAAAAATTAACTGAATTGAACGGAAAGGACTGAATTACTACTGTTTAAAGAATTTAAAGGGTGTTTTTTTAAAATTAAAAAAATATAAACTGTTATTTACTAAAAAGTTTTAGAGTATTTATGCCAATTATTCATAGAAAAAAGAAAAAGGAAAAAAAGTTTTGAAAAGAAGAAGGAAAAAAAGTTTTGATTGGTACTAGGAGTTACTCTACGAAGTGGTCACTTTATAGTGCCGACTTACTAATCGTGAAAAATATTTTTGCATGGATTTTGTCTGCAATGAAATGTATTTTTGGTGAAGGATAAGGATCATAAAATTTGTTCCCTTGTAGTTTTCTTTTGTAGCCCGCACTTTTTAATGTTTTTATGTTGACATTGTTAAACTCATAGTGAAACAAATCTATAGGGCCTTTAATTTGATGCAATGAATGGTTAATTTTACAAGGCCATGCAATTATGGCTAAATATAACATTATGTAAAGTTCATTATTGGGACCCTAGACCACGACCAATTTTTGTTTAGGTACATAATTGATTGTGAGATAATAAGTCTATGATTGTTAATTCAGCAAAAAATAAAAAAGTTTATGATTGTTAAGTTGTGGAGTCTAATTATGTCACGAAAGATTAATTGTCCTTACCAGATAACTTGGCTTGTAAAATTTAATTACTCTAGTTTTCAGTATAAAAGGAGTGTTATTTTATGGGATTATTAGAAAGGGGTTAGTAAATTTATTCTTTTATCATAATAAATTACTGCAATCATGTTCTGAGACAAAACTTTATAAATTTTGCGTGTTCATTTTGTTTCATTCCTTTTCCTTGATTTTATTACTCTCAAAAATATAGAATTTGTCCATCTACAATAAAAGACAAAACATTGGCGAGTTTCACTCTCATAAATGGAAAAAATCGAATTAGATGATGCTAAAAACTGAACAGTATGAAAAGCATGTAAACTATGTAAGATATGTATAGAGAATAATTCAGAGCAGTAATTGTATTCTGCCGGTGCACACAATAACGACACAGATAAACTATTAAGGAAATGTTTAGTTAAAAAATTTAAATTATAATTTAAATCATAATTCATAATTTATTATAATATTTTTTCTCATAAAAAATACATATAAATTAAAAATAATTTTAATTACATAATTTTAATTCATAAACTAAACATCTCTAACTTTTATACCGTTGTTGAGATGTGCCCTATGAGTTGCATTAATTGCGCTTAATATTGGGACGGAGACGTTTGACTGTTTAATAGTTCTGACCTTTCGAATGAAAAGCAAACACGTGCTTTTGATTAGACCCATCCTCGACTTTCTCATGTCACTATTTTACGTATCTTTGATCTTAGGATTTAGGGTAAAGTCTCATCGCTAAAACAAGTTTTTTTTTAGGTGTTTGATTCTACTTTTCATACGTGAAAACTTTAAATCAAGACCGTTAAAATTTAATCAAACTACCGTAGAAGAAATTTCCCGAATCTTAATAAATGGCCATGATCAAACGTGCTTCGCACCCTAGTTAGTGATGAAAAATACTAGGGAGTAATTAATTGACCCTTTGATCTGTTGATGACGAGTAAACAAAGGGGAAAAGAAAAGGTAGGGAGAAAGAAAAAAAAAGTGGTAATGGTGATATTTTGCCACGAATATGGCGCGTTATTATTGCCTTGAAAAAGTTTGTGTGGATTTGGAGGGAATCAATTTCCATCCGTGGTTTAATAGTGGCAAAAGTTAAAAAGAATAAATGTAATGATCTGTACGCACGCAATGAGCAACCAAGCAACGTTACAAGAACAAATTGTTCTTAGACCGGCAACGGAAAAGAAGGTCCTAAGCTTGCAACGTAGGAAATCTCTAAAAAAACAAGATACAAAATTGAATAGAAAAAGAAACAAACTTGTCATACAAAGTGTAGACAACCTTGTACTCTTTGCCAAACTTACTGCTTTCGACAATGGAATTTGTTCAACATGTTCTCCTTCTTGAGAGCCATGAATCTAGCTGTTAAGTCATCGCAGTCGGGCAACTTGGGATGGACATGGTTCGGATATGGAACCGGGCACGAATTTGATCTCTGAAAGTCATCTTTGGTACTATCCTTGGACCTTTCCAGAGGCATTGTCACTGTCCTCAAATAAGGAGGACCTTCTGTGTCTTTCTTTGTGCTGCAATAGTCAAACGAGGCACGACCGCCTTGCAAGCCAAGCTCCTCCACCGCCCCTTTCAATTCGTTGTTTTGTTTATGAATTCGGTGTTCGGGATAGGTGAAAACATCATACACCATAGCTCCATTGTCATAGCTTCTTCTCCTTGGTTTTGGAGGCATTGCAACCCGTTTCGTTTCTTTATTCGACTCCCCAATCCAAATCATTTGGTCTTTGCAATGCCTACTGGCCAAATTCTTTTGTTTCCGTGACGAGACTTCACAATCATCGCCATCTTCATCGCTCGAAAAATAGCATGGACTTTCATGGTTGCAGCAGCATCTGCAGCACGGTCTCTTTGGATAATATCTGCGGTTACTTGTTAAAGGGGTAACCGTGATTTCCCTGCTGCGAAATTGTTTTTGCCTCACCTCAGCGTCATATGATGATCTTTCTTCACCTTCCTCTGCCAGCATCTTGTTTTGTTGCTTTCTTTTGTGATAAGATCTATGCTTGTGATTGAAAGTGCTCTTGTGTGGCTGACCATAATAGCTAGCACATTCAACATCTTTTATACTTTGGTTTTCGTCATACACCAACCTTCTCCTTGATCTTTTCCTAGACACAATGCAATTCCTCTGAGAACCTTTTGAGCTCGCTTTTTCGGTCCCCAATTCATGTCTGTCCCAATAACTTCGATCACAACTGTTTCGAAGATTCACCCTCTTCGACACAGTTAAAGACTTGAACTTGAAGAATCTTTGGTCCTGAAAATCTTTATTTTTCACAGTGGAAGACTGATACTCCTCTATGTCATCCAGATAAACCACCGTCTCCTCGCAAAATCTTGGCAAGTTTTCTGAAGAAGAAGCTCCAATACTTCTCTCCTCTTTGCTTTCAAAAGCAGTTTCAGCTTCATAAGTATCGGCCTTGATGACGATCCTCTTACTTTCTTCATTGCCTAGACTAGACGTTTTTCGAGAATCTGCTTCAACTGAATTCTCTACTTTCTCTGCCTTATTCTGAAATGTAGATTTCGAAACATTTGGCAAAGCTTGCTGAACGGCAGAAGAAACATCAGAAGCACTACCTGATGATGGTTCAGTCAATAAGTTAGTCCTACTTGGTGATGAATCAACAAGTATGATTTGTGCTTCTATCTCAGCATTTGATGTTTGAACATCTTTCGCCGGTACTTTGGGCTCACTGCTTTCTTTTACCTGCAGTTTTGGGGAAACAAAAAGATCACTTTAATTTTAGCAAAAACAGAATAAGGAAAAAGAATCATTGTGTTCGTTATATCATGTTGATAAAGCTAATGAAGTTACCGGTTCTTCTTGTTGCCATTCGGGATAGAATTCAAGCGCTAAAACCTCTGGTTTTTGGAGACAGTAGTCTTGAGTGATTTCATTGACCGTTTTATGCTTCATCTCATCTGTTACTGGCTTCATTGATAGTGTCTCCATCACCTGTATTTTAGACACAATTCATGTCACTGAGAGCCTATTTTTGGGGGGTAGAAAGTGATAAACGTTTGCAAATTAAGTAGACATATCCTTTAAACACATTCATGAAATGTTGCAAGTAACAACCTGAAGGTTCACAAGATTCCCGGGGAACAATTCGACAGCAGCCATGGCAAACTTCTTGCCATAGCGATCTTCGAAGAGCTTCCTGATCACCCTGAGTTCAGGTAGGTCCCCGCATCTTGCAGAGGCAAATATAAGACTTGAAACTGCTTCACTTATATCGTTTGGGCATTCCCTGAAACCGCACAAATTGCGCAACACAAGCTTTTATCATTTATTTAGACAACAATTATCCAACACAAGAACAAGGCAGAAAAATGCATATGACATGTTTTGATGCAATCCGTACTTGCGTCTTCGGATACACGAAAAGTTGTTGAGGATGAATTCGCAGAAACGGTCCAGCAAGTCGTATGCTGCCATTACAGTTTCATCCTGTACCAGCTGCTCAGCCTGAGGTGAGAAAATTGTTAGCTATATCCATCAGAAAGCTCTTAAAATTTTGTACTACTTTCTTGAATAAGAATGTCATGATCAGCTGAAATTTGTTAGCTATATCTATCAGAAAGCTCTTCACAATTTTGGACTATGAAAGGTATTATACTACTTTCTTGAATAAGAATGAGATAATCAGCTGAAATGCATCACCCCTCTAGCTCTAATCCCAAAATTTGAATACTTTGCAGGCTAGGGTCTATCTGTTTTAATGAATTGAACTTTAAATGGATAAAATATAATGCCTTTCTTTACCAATATATTTGAACTTTAATCTGCTTCTGAAGTATGTATAAAAACAGGAAAAAAGAAAAAGAAAAGAAAAACAAATTGCTGGTAAAGAAAAGCTACAATTCATGGGATGAACATGTAAAAATTGCTGATAATCTTTTCTTTACAAACAAAGTCTCTCAATCTTTTCTTAGTTTTCCTTGTTAGCTGATCATCATAACAATCTTTTATCATAAACGCTAACATGACAGGAACAAAGTTTCGCAATGCAAAAAACAGAGGAAAAAGTCAGAGGATGCTGTTTCATAAGGACAAAGTAAAACTATCAAGACATTTAAAATCAGAGCTTTATATAACAATAGCTCAAAGGAGCCAAAGAAAATTTGTCTATTTGAAAAAAAACAAAAACAAAACATAACATAATGAAAATATTTGATTGATGGGATTCTGGAATATTTAAGGATTACCCGGTTAAAGGCAATGTTTTGATAGCCAGTCTTGATGAGGTGAGCCGTGTCTTGACGTAATTGCTTGACTATCACATGCCTCTTGTTCTTCAGCAACTTGAGCCGGCACTGTGCCAGTTTGATCACTTTCTTGCTGCGAAACAAAAAAACAGAACACAACCGAATTGATTCACCTAAGAAAAGAAAAAGAAATAAAAACAAAAAAACAAAAACAAAAACAAACAAACGTAAGAGATTATTTGTTTTGTTTGTGTACTGTTTTGACTCTTACCACTTGGAAGCTTTTCTCCACCCAAACAAGACGTCAAACATGTCTGGAGAGTTTCAACGTTACGCTTACAGTGGGAAGGAGATAAAAGCTCTTATCAGTTTTTTTGAGTAATAATGGCGCAAGTTACAGGTTGTGTGACATGGCAGCCCGTTTTTGGCTTGTGAAAGTCAAGCACTTGTTATAATGAATAAGTTGATTATGGGGAATAAATAGCGGACAGTTTTATGTAGAAGGAGTGGGTTTGAAAATGTTCTAGAGAGAGACAGAAAGTGGGAGAGAGAAAGTATGAAAGAACTTGCTCCCACTACACGGGTGTATGGGACACTTGTCAATATGGTAAATTACGAAACAGAAAAAAAATGTATTACTATTCTTATAGAAAGTTTCCTATAGAAAGTTTCCCTACTGTTTTTCATGTAACTATGAATTAAGTTCACTATTTTTTTTTTTGGAGATATATATAGAAAAGAGGATGTTATTGTTGTTGTTACTATTTTATAAAAAGTTTCGTACACTTTTTTAGATATTTTTCAGTACGTTAACATATTAATAAGTTAAATTTTTTTTCATTAAATCTATATAAAATCATGTAAAAATAAAAAAAATATACAAATTTAATAATTAAAAAAAACTTAACCTGATCAATAGATTAAAATCTCCCTTCAAATTAAAGTTTCGCTTTTTTTTTTTTGGGAGTTATAAATTGAAAATGGGGTAATGACCCAATTGAAGAAAAAAGTAGAGTTTATTAGCTTTTAATGCGAATAATAATGTATGCATTGATTTCTGGGCCAGTATGATAAAAAGAACATTTCGATTAAACTTACGTTGATAAAAAAAAAAAAAAAGTATAGACCACAATTATCGGTTGAGTTAGGGATTGATAATGATAACGCGACCCTTGTCTGTATTGTTTGTTCCGGAATTATTTCCCACTTCCTCTTCATCGTTTTCCACTAATTCACGATTTTTAGCGGTTAAACAGTCTAGTTAAATATCTTTTTTAGGGTGAAAAAGCTCTCCTATTTACCATTTTACTTTGTGTTATATATTTATATGTATATTTACTACTTTACTTTATGCTTTTTTTTTTATTTTGCGCTATTCAAACATTAATTGAAAAGTCATGACTTCAATTTCTCTTCTTTTACTATTTAATAGTAAAACAAGCAAAAGTTATCCCAAACATGCCCTAAATTAATCACATAATCTACCCATTTCAAAAATATATGTATTTTTTTAAATGTTTCAATATCCTACAATAATTCCTCAATCTTTTCCATAAAAAAAAAAAAATCCTCAATCTTCTGTTTCGTACATAATAATTTGTGCCCTTTTTCCAAGCACAATATGTTTGCGTGTAAGCTGTAACCCAGTGATAACCACCTACGGCTACAGGGTAACAATTTTTTCCACGAAATTTTGATTACACGAGAAAGGAAAATTGGATGACCACACAAATTTTTTATAAAAAAATTACCTTTCGTTTTCCCACTAGGAAAGTTAGACACGAACCCAGTAAACTTGGGAGAAAATGTAGGTTAGTGGATGAGTTAATTTACCACAACACTCTCACTAATTGTAATCTGTAAAAAAGAGATATGATTGAACTGAAACCTTCAAACGCACGCATTGACACACTACTGTAGTGTAGCACCACCAACCCATTTCCCCTCCTTGTCGGATAAAGCTGTCCCAAATATTAAAATGTATGAAAAGTTAAAAAAAAAAAAAACATTTGGGAAGAAACAAATGACTGCGTGGTTGTTAAGTGTTAATCTGAGTCAAAGGAATAGGTAATCAAATCCACCTCTCTTGTTTTCTCCTTATTTAATGGCGGCTGGTGACTCACAAGGCAAGGCTTGCATTGTCTTCAGAGTGATGTGAGAGAGTTTTTTTATTTATTTTTGGTGTGGAATAAGCACGGAGAAAAGCATAGCAGAAAAAGCTAAAAAGCTCTAATATTGATAATGATGATTCAAGCCATTTCTCTCTCTCTCTCTCAAACTTTCTTTTAAAAAAAAAAAAATGATGTCGTCTTCCTGAGCATCACAAGGAATGAGTAATCATTAGACCACACTACTCCATTTTGGTACCAATTCTCGTACTTCGCGTTTGCTTCCTGGGAATGTTATGGGAACAAATCGTTGTTTTTTTAATTTACATTAAATTTTGAATTTGAATTTTATTACGGTAAAAAATAATCACATTTAATTTTTTATTATAATAAAATTTTTTTGCATAAAGTTATATTTTAACTTGAATTAAAAACTCAAACAAGCTAATTAAACGGGCTTAAGATAAAGACCTCGTTCATTTCACCGATTTGAGTTTAGAATTCGAGTTTTGTTATAGTAAAAAGCTTTAAAAAAAGTCACTTCTAACTTTTTTACTACAATAAAGAGTTTTTATATAAAATTACATTTAAACTTGAATTAAAAATTTGAATCAGCAAATTATACAGGTCTAAAGAGAATAAAATTTCATATTTGGTTCAGAAAATGCACTAACTAATCTATAGGATGTAGATTTGGTTAGGTGGTCCGAACTTGATGGCATTTTCTACTTATCTTTTCAATGCACCCGAAAAGAAAAGTTTCTCTTATATGGATTTGGAGGAACAAATATCGTTAACCTTTCTCTGCCTATCTAATCCAGTTAAAAACCAACTTTAACTACTACATAAAACATTAGTACATTACTAATAATTATCAAATTTGATGTCGCACTCAAAATCAGATGCCTTTGGGTTATTTTTTTCTTATTCACCATTTTATTAATTCCTATTAGCTATTGGATTTTTTGTTAAAGCATTAGAATGCACAATCTATAGATGAATAAATGATGGGTTGAATGTTATCCTGACAAAAGTTGTTTAACAAATTATCTGCAGTTTTAAAAAACTCATTGTTTGATGCATGATTATTACCATTGGAAATTATAGCGACTCGGTTCAAAGATAAAATGATAGAAAACTTTGTATGTTGCAAAGTTTATTATACGAATGGAGATAAATCATAAATATATATTCAAAAATATATATATCTATTAAGTGAATAATAATCGGTACATGATTTACATATATAATAAATGCTAACACACTAGGCTAAACAGTTCGAGTGCTTCAGAAATCAGAACTGTTTCCAAACGTGATAAATGGTCGTGGACAACAATTATATTATGGGGCAAATTCTTTGAATGCTTGAGTTTGGCAATTTGCACGAAAAAAAAAAAAAAAAAAAAAAAAAAAAAAAAAAAAACCAAATATTAGACAGGTTAGGTTAGGTTTCTGTGGTTACCAACTTAAACCAGAAATGATTATTTATAAAAAGCAAAAAAAAAAAAAGACTTAAACCAAACATGCTAGCTAGTAATATAATAGTTGTTAAATTTCAATATTCTACATTATGGAATTATATACAAATACCAGGATTAATTCTGTCCGCTCGAATTTACTCTACCTTCTCTTCTGGACCGTTATATGAATAACATGTTTTTTTTTTCTTTTTTTTTTTTTTCGTTTTCAGAAATATATGACCCATGGTCCAGTGGTAGAGCTAGGAAATTTTTCCAGTGGGGGTGTGAGTAAAACTAAAGTTTTAAACTAAAATAATAGCACAAGTTACATTATTTTAACTATTTGTGTGTTTTTTTAATCTATATGAATCAAGCTTTTAATTGACTTAATTCACTTTTTAAGGTCTATAGTCCACAAAATTGTGAACTCATATAGTAAGTTTATTGATTATTTACTTATTTAGAAATTTAGATTAAAAATATGAGATACTTAAACGCTAAATTTTAGGGCATGTTTAAAATGTTTTGAAAATTTTAATAAAAACATCATTAATCAGAAAAATTCAAGGAGGCGAATTAAGATAAAAAACGTAAAAGTTAATTTAATTAGGGTAAAATTAAAGGGGTCACCTTGAACCAGAGCGGACGCTGCCCCCCTCGGCCTAAGGTGGCTGCTGCCCATGGTAATATATAATTGCTTACGTTATACATTAAATAACTTTTGCAAACAATTTCATATATCTTACATACTTTACCGACTTTAGCCTCCACGATTTCAATGTTCGACAGGAATCATCTTCAGTTGACAGTTTTCAGATGCAAGTTTTACTGTTTCTCTTCATTTTTCTTCATTTCCTCCCACTAATATCGTCTGGGCTTGTTTAAGAATTAAGAGGTTTTTCTTTTGTTTTTTTTTTAAATATATTTTTGCCGTTCCACTCTATGTTGTTTTAAACGTTATGTTGTTTCGGGGTTAAAGCTCTCATATGATTTTTATTTGGATAATCTTCACAAATATTTCGTAAATGTATATGAGTTAGAATTTTTACTTTTTACTCTTGATTCATAATTTTTTTAGTTAAATAATTACACTAACAAAAGAATATTTATCAAAAATAAGAAATAAAAGTCCATATTCAGCACTTTTAAATAAATTCTCCATTTTTTCTTTTTATTAATATTTGTTTTGCCTACGATAAAATTTTCATGTCGTTTTCTGATTATTGTCGTTTTTCAGGTCTTGTCTTTTATCTTTTTGGTGGTTTTAAATTTACTACCATTTTATGGTTTATTGCAGGTTACAGGGGCTATTGTTTCAGTTTATTCTTATCCCATAGGCATACGTTGTTTTTCCGGTTATTGTCGTTTTTCACGGCTTGTCTTTCGTCATGTTGTCATTTTTAAATTTACTGTCGTTTTGTGATTCATTGTCTTTTTTTTTTTCCTTTTTTTTATTGCCGTTTTAAGGCTGTTGTCTGTCCTTATACCGAAGTCAATATGCCGTTTTCCAGGTGTCATCATTGTCAGATCTTGTCTTTCATCTTGTTTTTTTAAATTTATTATTTTTTATCTGGTCATTAATTGCAGAAATTTTGAAGTTAAAGGGTTGATTGTCAAGAAAAAAAAATTAAGAGTGTGTTTAGAATTAATTTTTTATTATTTTTAAAAATGTTTTTACATATTTTTTGAAGCACGGAAAAAACCGTATGTATATTGTGTTTATTTAGTAAATATTTTAAAAGCGAAAATAAAAATAAAAGACAGTAAAAATGATTTTTGTGAATGAATTAGAAAACGGTTAAAAGTTATTTTTCCTTTTATGTTTTTATTTTTTAGGACCTATTAACAATGTTATAATATATTAATTAATAATTATAACTAAACACGATTTCACATTTTTATTATACTCATAATAATCTTTTAAAAAATGAACCAAACGCAATTTCAGAATTGGTTTCAAAATAATTTTCAAAACAATCTCCTTTTTACTTTTATATGCAAAACAAAATCATTTTGAAAACGTTACCAAACGACTTCTAAGTTGTGTAATTCCTTAAAGAACAAGAAATAAACCGAGTGCATGTCGTGTTTAATATGAGGGCTATGTTTAAATATTGCTATAATTGTACAATTCACTTTCAAAATATCTCTTTTAGCCTTTCTATTTTCTCTTTAGAAAATCATCCTAAATGCCTCATCTATCAAAATTAAAAATAAATCAAAATCACGCAGAATTAATTATTGAACCACAGTCATAAGAAAATTAAATAGTATAATTTAGACTCCACCGCACTCAAATTAACCCATCACGTGAATATCAATACCTTAATTTTAACAAATTTTGTGCAATAACATTCGAAAAGGATAGACACAAAAAAATAAAATAGGCTCCAATATTAGTCCTTTAATCCACGGTTCTTACTATACAAAAACACAATTAGAAGACTTGATTGGACAACAGTACTTCAAAATTATCTACTAAAACACCCAACCTTTTGCTGAGTTCCTTGTGTACACAGAAGAAGGTGGTGCCTGCATTATACAACCACGTATATATATATATGTGTGTGTGTGTGTGTGTGTGTGTAACACAGAAGAAGGTGGTGCCTGCATTATACAACCACGTATATATATATATATATGTGTGTGTGTGTGTGTGTGTGTGTGTATATTATCTGTGTATATATAATTGGTATCAAGTACGGATCTTGCATAGGGTACTATAGATACATAGTTTTTTTTTTTTTTTTTTTTTGGTGGTATATTTGCAGAAGCTTGCATTAGGTTTGTACGTATCACTCATGTTGAGGATCGGTCTCTATCTCAAGGGCTAATTCTTTGGTCAACTTATCAGCTCGATCATCTTGTCCACCGGCAAAGCTATACACACGAAACGCAAGCTGAAAAGCCCTCCAAAGCATTTTTGTGTGCGCCTTTGCTTGCCCTTCATTAGACCACCCCATATTTTCTTCATTTGTTGTCGCTTTTGCCTTTCTCCTTTCCTTTACCACAAAACAATTAAATTTCATTAAATATATACATTGTACTAATTTCTTGGTCCATGATTAGTTAAGTAGAAACTATTATGCAGTTGTAAAATTACCTCAAGTGCCAATTCCATGCAGCTAGAAGAAACATCAACCATGGATTCTTTAATCCGAACCAAAATGTTGAAGTCGAAAGTGATATTGTGGCTTTCGAACCGCTTGGATTCTTCATCTTTGCTTCTTTCCAATGCATCTATTTCCCCTTTGATCTGTTCACATAAAGTTAGATCATTTGCTCAATTGTGGTCGAAAACTTGCTCAGAGAAAAACACTAATTTACCTTCGTTTTCTTTTGTTTTAGTTACCTTGTTGAAGAAGGAATCGACCTTATCAAGAAGCTGGCCTAAAGGAGGAACTACTTTCCAGTTTTGGAGGTTATTAAACGTTTCTTCCAATTTTAAGTACAAAGCTGATGCAGTTCTCAATGTTTCCAGCTTCTTAGTTGGAAAACCTTCAAACCTTGCGAGCACCTGCAATTACATCAGGAGCTAGAAAATCATGAGCCAATTAAGCTTGGATTAGTATTAAGGCTATGTTTGGTAACAAGGAAAGAAATATACGAAGGAAACAATGACTTGTAACCTAGGTGAGGAAAATAGAGAGGAAGGAGAGGACCCTTCTCTTATATATTGTGTTTGGTATTGATTACTTGATCCTCTAATCTCTCCATAGTTGGAAGAATCAGAAGCAGGGTTCTTTTAAGGATTTGAAATCCATTACACAACATATTCCCTCGTCTTTTCTCTCCTACCAAACAATCATAGGTCCTAAAATCTTTTCACTAATCCCCACACCCCTATAATAGGTGTGTGTATAAATTAAACTTGACTCCCCTTAAATTAATAGTTCTCTAAATTTTATTGGGCCAACCATTTAGATTTTAAAAAATAAAATATTCAATTTTATTAAGTCCATAAATATTAGTATAATCTTGATAAAAATAAAATAAAATTAGTCTCACTACTAATAAATCCTAACTCCGTCACTGTCTTGCTCTTTCCACTTTTTCCTCGTGTCAAACAAGCTCTTAAACTGATCAGACATGTATTTTTTACCTGGGTCTCATCACTAAGTTTCTCTAAATGTTGTTCCACATATTTATGGAACTTGACAAGCTCAGACATATCCTTTGTTTTGAAGGAGTTGAGAGCAGCCTTTATCTCCAAGATGGATTTGGAATGCTTCTGAACGTCTTCTTCAATCTGTTGGAAATAAGCAGATCTAAGACAACAAAAAGACAAAACCACTGGTCAGTAGTAACAAAAATATCCATCTCGTATTTCCTAACTCTATGGACATTAATTTTGTCAAAAAAAAAAAAAAAAAGTCAGACCTCTTAGTCATTTCAGCTAGAGCTTCAGCCATTCCTTGCTTTCCTCCAGCAGATCCTCCTCCTATATTAGATTTGCTCCCTTTCACTTGCTTTCCATTTAAACTAGAGCCTTCCACTTTTCCTTTGAGAGCTCTATACAAGTTTCCCATGTGGGATGATCTTTTCAATTTGGTAGTTGCTTTCTTGGAGCGCAAGGCTTTAGCAGCACCCAGTGGAGGAGGAGGAGGTGGCGCGCCTCCCTTTGTCGGAGGCATGGGAGGTAGTGTCAGTGGTGCTGCTGATACATTACGAGGCGGAACGGGCGGTGGAGGAGGGGCTGCGGCAGTCACACTTAGAGAATTAGACAGTGATGCAGGTGGTGGCGGTGGAGGTGGAGGCAGGACTATGGCAGTCACATTTAGAGAATTAGACAGGGACGCTGGTGGTGGCGGTGGAGGCGGAGGCGGGGTTGATATTGGTGATGACATTGAACTTGAGGTCAAGTTTGGACAAATTCTTTTAGCTTTGGAGTCTTTTATCTCCTCGTGACTTGATCTAACCGGCATTTCTTCAGCAATGTATTGATCAACTTTCCTTTTTGTTCCCTCCAAGGGATTGGAATCTTGAGTGAGTAAAGGAGGAGACATGTCAAATGAGAAGAGGTGCTTCATTCCCATGGACTTCAAGTTCTCCAGTGCCTTAAGTCTAAAAGGCAAGAGAAGTGATCTTGAATAAGAAACATCGGCGATTTCGCCTAGTTCCATACCAAAAGAACTCAGCTCCGGTGGTGCTGAAGTTGGAGTGTCTGGTGAAGGGCAGGTCATGAGCTTGTTGTCTGAATAGGATTTAGTCAATACATCTCCGATTGTGGGGGCCTGAATCCTATCCTCGTTGTTCTTCTCGTCTTCATCCATAACGTCGAATATTCGTTTCGCAATGTGAGTCATGTGCTTAAGCTTTGACAGAACTCTTCCCCCTATTGAACAATTAGTATGATTCATGAACATGCATCTTTCGATTTGGATATTAAGGCTGTACCACATACTATCTTTTGTTCACTGAATAAATAGAGATTTCAAATTAGGCAAGATTACCAAGTTGCTCCAAACTGGTCATGTCGTCCAGGCAGTCTTGTGCATCATTCCCCATAGTGCTTATCCATTTTTGATTCTTAACCCATGAATCTCCTATGGATTTTAGTGCATTGTAAAGTAAAGCTAAACCCTGTAAAAAAAAATTTTATGTTAGAGCAAGAAACAAAAACAAGTAAAGTATTTTTCTATTCTTTCCCAACCTCATGTAATGAAATCTCTTCCAATTCTAGTGCCCTGTCGTAGGGAACAATATTTGGGTATAGATTGTGGAGATCCTCTACAGTTCCCTTGACCAACTGTGAAAAAGGGAATTAAAGAAAATATTCAGAGCATGAAATAAAACTCAACTCATGATATAGTATAGATATCTTTTGTTACTAAACAGTGATTTGTAAGTACCTCATGGATGGGGCTTGAACCATCACAAGGAGGAAGATCAATGGTATCTCTAAAGGTTAGAATCTTCTTCCGAAGCTCTATCATTAAGATTAAACTTCCCGTCCATCCACACAAATTTCCTTTCGCAATCCCCGCCATTTCGACTTGATTCTTTGATATCCCTGAGCCTGTTCCCTACAGACGAGTAACTTGATGGATTTACATATACAAAATATACATTTCCCTATTTCTTGGCATCTAGTTGATGGATTAATTATTCATGCATGAGGTTTAAAAGAAACACTATCAACACGGTAAGTATATATAGGCACTCTCGTCAAAACAATTACAGACATAAATTGATCAGTCCACAATAATTGTGTTGATGTCCATGGTTTTACATTAATTTTAGGGCTACAAACAAGATTGAAACTCAGCTTGCAGAATACTGATTTAAGCCTTGACCCAAGGCAACAATCTATAAATTACTTCCTGTATTTTTTCCCTTCCACAATAACTTTGCATGACTAACAACATTTAGTCCCGAAACATAAATTTAAGTTAAAATTCTCAACAAAAAAAAAAAAAAAATCAACTAACACTGAATCACATAAAACCAAACCTTATATTTTGTTTTAGAATTACAATTTCCATATCATACCTGAAATCCGATCGAACTGGAACGCCACAAAAAAGGTGCCGCCTTGTATAAACCAGTTGCCATCTCTTGATATCTATATATCCAGTCCTACTATATATTTTTTCTAAGCTGCGTCCGAAATTGAGAACAAAAATGAAAAAATATATATATTTATACGTTTTCAAGCTTTCAAGGTTCAACAATGTGAACGTTTTATTTATGTGTCCGTGGATATATATGGACTATATATGAAGAGCCGTGTGCCTAGAAGAGGCTAAATATCAGAGGATATACAAAGTGGGAAATTAATATGATATTTGAGGAAAACGGAGACAAAGGCAATCTTCGTCCTCCTAATGGTGGCGATGATGGTGGTGGCTCTTTGAAGGGTGAAACCGCGTAAGGCGTACCGGTTGCCCGGCAAGCTTGTTGTTGCATCTGTTTCTCAGTCTATAATTATGGCCGATTTATTTCTTTCTCCTGCAAAATAGGAAACTGTTGGGTCTATGATTTGCCACTTGTGTGTATTTTGATTAGTTTGAGCAATTAAAAATAAGTATATATAACTTACAAACAGCAAAGATGGGCTCCTCATCCCCCTATCCCCTTTCTTTTTTGTTAAGGTTGGATGGCTTTACATTTAACTAATTATTAAGTACATCGTTTTCTTATACGAATACTGATTTTTGTATATTAATCATTAATTTCTTTCTTATATATGTCAACCATTTTGTTTTTCCGAAAAGCAAAGTAATCAGAGAAACAATATTTGATTTCCAAGCTAACACAACAACATTTTTTTGTAGGACTAAAATAGAAACTATGCATCGTTCGTTCATGATCATCCTTTTTTTATTTAATTTTTCTTAAAACAAAGTAGTTTTTTGGATTGAATTAAAGAAAGTAATACTATAATATGAAGGCATGAACATTCTTTACTTGAATTATATTCTCCTTTGTAATTAGATTATGAAATGTTTCTTTTTCGTGCATTCTCAATAAATTATCAACCAAATTATGTCCAAATGCACATATCACTTCCAAATTCAACAAGAATTATCAAACTGTAAACAAAATCAAAATTGTTTACAATTTTTTTTTCAGAGCAGAAAAAAAAAAACTGTAAACAGATCATCGAATCGAAAAATTAATGGAGCGGGAACAAAACAATAAATTTCTCTTTTGAGCTGAAACGATTATACATTTGCTAAAAGTATGATGACATGCAATCTTTCTTGCCCTGACATTAATTGAACTTGCAATAAGCAAATTCTACCCAATAATTAGCAAAAAAAAAAGAGTGAAAAACTCACATAATATTTTACACAAATCTAAATCTATGATAGCTCTTTTTCTTTCTTATCATACGACCATTTTTTCCAAATATATTCAACCAAAGCATCAAACAGGGCCAAATTTTTTTTTTTTTTTTCACTATATCGTCATTTTGATCTTCCAATGAACTCATCAAAACTCGACGTCGTAACTATATTTACTGGACAAAATCCTGGCCTTCTTATCAGGCTGCAAATTGTCCACAACCAACGAGCAATTCACAAACACCACGACCTGCCTTAGCGGGAGACTCCCCAGCACGCCGCTCACCGGGACTTTCACCCTCACCAGCAGCGGAATCTGCCCGGTGTGGCGGTTGTCGACGAGCGCCTGCTGGAGCCCTGACCCGAACTCGCTTTGCCCTTTCAGCTCAACTCTCATCATCGTCACGTTCTTCACCGGCTGGTGAAAATCCGGCAGCTTCCCGGAGCAGAGCTCGGAGCCGGAGTACATGACGATCACGTAGCTGTCCTTCCCGTAGATGAAACCGACGTTCTCGTTCGGGTTGTCGGCCTTGACGACGACGACGAACTCGGCGGTGAGGCGGAAGGTATCCTGCGCGACCTTGAAGGTGTTGATGCCGAGGTTTTCGACGGCGTAGGAGGGCACCTGGGGCTTGTAGACAGTGTAGAGGTAGAAGGTGAGGGCGGCGGAGATAAAAACGATGAGGAAAAGGCAGCAGTAGCAGCAGCCGATGCAGCGGAAGCAGCAGCTTGAGCCGGACTTGTCGTGGGGGGGGTTCGAGGGGGATCGCGGGGTGTTGCGGCGGGGAGGCGGTTTTTTTGTGGGGGCGGTAGGGCGCCAGCCGCAGGCTGCCTGCTTGGTGCTGAGAGTGCATGACGTAGTTGGCTTGTTGGTACGGAGGGCCAGACTGGTCCATTGTAATTGGTGATAAATTATGGAGAAGAAGAAGAAGAAGAGGAAGAAAGAAAGAATGAAAGAAGGAAAGAAAAAAAAGGTCAGGATTTGGGAAAAAATGTGATCAAATTCAAGCCCTTTGTTTGTTGGGATGGTTTGTTTTTGTATGTTTTCCTAAGGTTAAGGGCGTTGTTGCATGTGTGTGGATGTGGAGGAAGAGAGACAGAGGTTATTGTTAAATATATATGGGCTTGTCTTGCTCTGTTTTTCTATTTGGGGCTTTGAGAACTTAATTGATCATCTTTGGAGTAAAATATATATGTTCACGTAATTGACAATTGTTGCATGAAAAAATTCATATCGACACGTCAAATAATGATCAGGTCATACGTGGCCCCATGCCTGCCACGTTAATTAGCCCTCAATGCCCGAGCCTCATTTCTCTTTCCTGTATGGCACAAGAACCGAATGTATAAGGAGACTGAGACCGTTGACCCTATACACAGTCGAGATCTGCGAGACCAGCTCGTGCAAAATAACACGATAAAGTCGTCCGTGAGAGAGGCTACCATCGGCATATTTTAGCATAGGCACAGATGGCAGAACGCAAGCAATTGGATCTACATCCCAAGCGGAGATTAGCCAAAAATCCCAAGGTTACGCCTAGACTTGGAGAAAGTCAGTTGCACTGGAAATTATTACAAGCCCTTAAACCACCTGAAACGGATCAATAAATGCTACAGAGGATCTACAGAGCCATAATAGGGGGACAAATTGGATGAGTGAACAGTCCAAAAGGTGCTGATAGGCTACGGTCTAGGCAAATGAGGCAATAGGCCACTCGAGTGAATGGACCCCCTGGAAGAAAAGACCTAATGGTCCAAACTGCCTGCCGTTGGGCAAGGCTCAGGAAGTACGAGCTATAAAAGGGGGAAGACCCCCGAGAGAAGGGGGATCCTTTGGATTCATGTGTAATTAGTAAGAACAGAAACAAAAGAAATACAATATAGTGGATATAGCTCTTATTGAGAAGGGTGAACCATTATAAACTTCCTGTGTGTTCTTACGTTCATAAACATTATCATAGTTTATTTTGCAACACATCCGAAACCCTAATACAAATTCTAGCATATTCGGTAAAACTACAACTTTCAAACCGGTAACCCAACGGGCTACCGTGGGGTAATCCGGTAAGGTCTTGTTGACGAAATTCAACCGTCAACAATTGGCGACTTCGCTAGGGACTGAACCAAGAATCTATGGTTCACGTGTTCAACCCCAGACAACAAATGATCATGCCTCCGAGAAGAAAAAATGGTGCTTCAAATCCGAACAGCCAAACGGAGGAAAATACCGCGCATCCAACCGGAGTGGGAGAAATCAGCCCGACCAGGGGAATCAACCTCTAGCAAAGGATGAAACTCCACCCACAGGCACGCCACAGCTTGACCCGGTACAGATGTAGGCCCAGCTAAACACTCTGACCGACTTGGTTCGAGGACTAACGACCGTTGTCGAGCGATTGGAAGGAAGAAATTCCATGCCTCCCTTGGAAGACGTCCCGAGACCACCAAGAGCTGGAATCAACCTCTAGCAAAGGATGAAACTCCACCCACAGGCACGCCACAGCTTGACCCGGTACAGATGTAGGCCCAGCTAAACACTCTGACCGACTTGGTTCGAGGACTAACGACCGTTGTCGAGCGATTGGAAGGAAGAAATCCATGCCTCCCTTGGAAGACGTCCCGAGACCACCAAGAGCTGCCATGGCTGGGAACTAGGATGCTGGTAACCGCCAAGGTG